TGGATTTACTGCAGAATTCTACAAGAAATACAAAGAAGACCTAATGCCCTCACTCCTCAAACTATTCAATGAAATTGAAAGGGAAGCAATCCTTCCTAAGTTATTCCTGGAAGCAAATATTACTCTAGTACCAAAACCTGAGAAAGACCCAACTAAAAAAGAGAACTATAGACCGATCTCCCTAATGAACACAGATGCAAAAATCCTCAATAAAATATTGGCAAATAGGATCCAGCAAATCATCAAGAAGATTATACACCATGACCAAGTGGGATTCATCCCAGGAATGCAAGGATGGTTCAACATATGCAAATCAATAAATGTAATCCACCATATCAATAAAGCCAAAAATAAGAATCCCATGATCATTTCTATAGATGCAGAAAAAGCCTTCGATAAGGTCCAACATTTATTCATGATAAAAACTCTACAGAAAATTGGAATAGATGGTCTTTACCTCAATATAATAAAGGCCATTTATGACAAACCAACAGCCAGCATCATACTAAATGGCCAAAAATTGAAAGCCTTTACTTTAAAATCGGGCACAAGACAAGGATGTATTTTATCACCACTCCTATTTAATATAGTACTGGAAGTACTAGCCAGAGCAATTAGGCAAGAAAGAGAAATAAAAGGGGTAAAGATAGGAAAAGAAGAAGTTAAATTATCATTGTTTGCAGATGACATGATACTCTATATAGAAGACCCCCTAAGCTCCATTGAAAGACTCTTAGATACAATAAATAAATTCAGTAATGTGGCTGGATACAAAATCAGTACTCAGAAATCAATAGCATTCCTATACTCAAACAACAAAATCACAGAGAGGGAAATAAGAGAAACTGGACTATTCACATTAGCAAGCAAAAAAAATGAAATATTTAGGAATTACTCTTACGAAAGAAGTGAAAGACTTATACAGTGAAAACTATAATACACTGAAAAAGGAAATTGAAGATGATCTCAGAAAATGGAAAGACAACCCTTGCTCATGGATAGGAAGAACAAACATTGTGAAGATGGCCATTCTCCCAAAACTCTTATACAGATTCAGTGCAATCCCAATAGAAATACCATCAACATACCTTATAGATCTAGAGAAATCACTCCTAAATTTCATCTGGAACCAGAAGAGACCTAGAATCGCAAAGGCAATTCTCAGCAGCAAAGGCAAAGCAGGAGGCATCACAATCCCTGACTTGAAATTATACTACAAAGCAACAGTAGTAAAATCAACATGGTATTGGAATCAAAACAGAACCGAAGATCAATGGAATAGATTAGAAGATACAACCACAACTACAAACACACTCAACCACCTTATCTTTGATAAAGGAGCCAAGCAGGTTCACTGGAAGAACGACAGTCTCTTTAATAAATGGTGCTGGAAAAACTGGCTCTCCATTTGCCGAAAACTAAAGCTAGACCCATGTCTATCACCATGTACTAAATTAAAATCTAAATGGGTCAAAGATCTGAATATTAAGACAGAAACACTAAATCTATTGGAAGACAAATTGGGTAGAAACCTTGGAGACATAGGAGTAGGTAAATAATTCATGCACAGGACTCAAACCGCACAGCAAATACTTCCCAGAATCAATAACTGGGACCACTTCTTATTAAAAAGTTTCTGCATGTCAAAAGAAATCTCCAGCATAGTGAAAAGAAAACCCACAAATTGGGAAAAGATTTTAGTGAACTCTCTCTCAGACAAGGGACTCTTGTCTAAAACATATAAAGAATTAAAAAAACTCAGACCTCCAAATTTCAAAGATCCAATCCAAAAATGGGCATCTGAGATGAATACGCAATTCTCAGATGAAGAAATCCAAATGGCAAATAAATACATGAAAAAATGCTCATCATCATTGGTCATTAGAGAAATGCAAATTAAAACCACACTGAGATACCATCTCACTCCTGAAAGAATGGCCAGGATCAAGAAAACCAACAACAACAAATGCTGGAGATGCTGTGGGGAAAAAGGAACTCTCCTGCACTGTTGGTGGGAGTGTAGACTGGTACAGCCTTTGTGGAGGTCTGTCTGGAGGTTTCTCAAAAAGTTGGGATTGGAAATCCCATTTATTCTAGCTATTCCACTTCTAGGCATATTCCCAGAAGAACTGAAAGCATCATACCACAGTGATTTATGTGCACCTATGTTTATAGCAGCACAATTTGTAATCGCCAGATCTTGGAAACAACCCAAGTGTCCATCAACTGAGGAATGGATAAAAAAGTTGTGGTATTTCTATACAATGGAGTATTATTCAGCTATAAAGAAGGATCACATTGAGATATTTATCAATAAATGGGCGCAGCTTGAGACCATACTCATAAGTGAAATAAATCAATCTCGCATGTATGAATACGGAATAGTTTCCCTAATGTAAGTAATGATTCAAATATATGAAAATATGTGGCAATCATGATTCCCCATTATGTGGCCTTGAAGCCTTATAAAATTTTCACTGATTAATTAGAAAGGCTTTATTCTGGGCTTCTTGATATGTAAATATTTGAAGCTATCGTATATGAAGTTTTATCCAAATATTTCAAGGAAAAAGACAGACACTATGGTAACTATTATTCTTTAAAAAAATTATTTAGTTATTTCTTATGTTTATTTTAATTAAGGGAAAAATTTAAAAAATTAGGATATATAATAGTAACTCTTTTCGATTTCCTATTAACTTGTTTTGAAGTCCTGTAATACTCCCACGATCTTGTTTTGACTGATTAGACTCTGTTCCATTCTGTGTGATAGTATCAAGTCTGAGGGTATAGGCAACTACTTTGAAGGCAATAAGATTCACTAAGATGCCCATTCTGGTTTGACTATTGTCTCCTTTGGAAGTCCTGTAATGTTTACAATGTCTAAGTTTTATTGGTCTTGTTCTCTACTGTTTTGTCCAACTTTATAATATCTAATGAGGTAGACAAATCTTTTTAAGGAAACAAGAGACAACGTTGATTATCATTGTTAATAACCGTGTACTCTGTTCTACATCATGTTCTATGTCTATCCTTGGTTTTGACTGACAGCTTTGTTCCGCCATATTTGACTTTATTCTCCCCCCCCCAAAAGTAATAAGAACTAAGGAGTAATAAAATCCAAAATGTGTAAATTTTGTTGTAAAAACAGAGGAAGGGAAAAAAAAAAGATCCCTAACGGATATAACAGCAAGTGTGTATAGGGGTGTTGAATAGCTGACTATATTAATGTTTTTGGATCATTGAACACAGCTGTTTGCCGTCTCTCTGTTTGAATGTCTACTTTGTATTCTTTGATACTGTGATTTGAGCAACTATTTCCAAGATGATAATATGTAATCTATTAACAGGTGATTTCGTACTGTTATGTTTTTTTTTGTAGTTCTGTATTATATGTAACCTTACACTGCTTTGTTTTGTTTTGTGTTTTTCTCTTTTTCCTCTTAAATAAAAAAAAATAATATCCTTGTTTTTAAGACACATGATCTTTTGTACTTAGGAATAAAATATCTGTCTAAACATAATCACAAACACAAAGTAAATGTTGATATTTAGGGAATTGAAGTGAAAAAAATATGGAAATACTGAATTTTGCGGAATACGTCACCATTCCTATAAGCTTAAAAATATTGCAATAAAAAGTTAAAATATATGTATATGTGGTTTACCTAGACATATAACTATATATGCATGCATATTTATGCTAGTTCTCTTAATTTTATGTTACAATTTAACTCTATTTTGAGTTATATTTTTCCAAATAAATAGTAGAAACTTTTTGGGATGTTTGAGGACTTATACTTGGCACTGTAAGGTATGAAATATTGGTTATGATTATGAAAATGTGCAGAGAGAAGAATATGTTTTATTTGAAAAGAAGAAAGGATCCTTGTTGATACAGAGATATAAAAATTCCATCAAGATTCATTTCATGTACATGCTAACTTCTGCTATATTAGCTTAATAATTAACCAACAACGTATCCCTCTTATTCCACTGTTTTCTTTTCCTTAAACTGAAATAAAAACAAGCAACCCTATTATTATTTCACATTGGATGTCCCAAGTAGATTTAAAGTGGTAGTTTCAAGGTAAATAAACAAGAGACAGACACAAGGAAATTTTATAACTATAATGGTCTTTACGGTGTAAGAATTTTCTTAACCAAGTGTATAAAACAGTTTTCTTCCTTGTAATCTTTTCCAGTAAAATTAACTCTATGAGGGCTTTATTGATTTTGAAGATATATTGTGTGGGTGTGTCTAGAGCTCAGTGGAGAGGTCACTGTAGTTAGTAAGTATCTTAGTTACTTTTAACTTGTTGCTGAGACAAAATACCTGATGCTCAAAGTTGGGAAAGGAAAGGTTTATTTCTTACAGATTTTGGAGGTTTCAGTCCATACTCAGTTGGCTCCAAGGCAGGGTGGCATGGCGGGGCCACAGTTCATGGTGGCTGCAAACAGCAAGGCAGAAACCAGCAAGAGAGAGCAAGACACACCTTCTTCCTGCCATTACATTACATCACACCTGCCATTACATTACATCCTGGCTCCACCTCAATGTGGATGTAGCACTGACACCATCAATCCAAGCACTATACAATGAACCAATCACAGATGCATAATGTAAATGCATGAGGCCTGAGGGCCACTGTCATAAACCATGACAGTAAGTGTGAAGGGCAGCTGAAGCTGGAGATCAATCACACATACAGAGCTGAAGCAAGGCCAGCCCAAGAACACAGAGTGCCTAAGGCAAGCCACGTGAACAAGCTGCTTCAGTCTCAAAAAGATGAGGCACTGAGGCAAGCCAGGCAAGCAAATTGTTAGCCAGAGGGATTTCACCACTCATCAACCTCCAGAGGTATAAATAAATGCTCTGCAGTCATTCAGTTGTTTGTTTTCTCCAACCAGGATAGGCCTCACCTGACCTCAGGTTTCTGCATTCTGACTCTTGTCTTCATTTCTTCATCCTTTACTACCCTTTCCCTGGGAATTTTAAGAGCTACGCAGAATGCGGCATTTTGACACCTGAACAGGAACCTGGAGTACAAAGAAACTCTCCATATAGTAGGTAAGAGGACTCAAACAGTACCATCTCAAGAGACCAAAAGAGGAAAACAGGGTCACAGGAAGTATAGGGCAGAAAGGTGTATTGATATTATCAATATTGATTTCATCGGGTATAAAACATGGGGAAACAGGTTCTCAGGAACAACACATGTACATTACAAATCCTTGTTGTATTATTGATTCCTGTATTTACTTTTTTTTTTTTTTTTTTTTTGTGGACCTGCATCAGGGAGTGTTTGGATGATTGTAAGCCTGCTGAGATGACCACACAGGATTTGGCTTGCAGCACTACTAAGTCCTGAGCAGAAAAATGTGATCGTGGAGCAACAGCCACCCCTCGCCATAGAGCGTGAACCCTCTAGCTATGCTCAGTTAAGTAAGGAAGAAGCTGTTGGGAGTGGTGGTAAAGAAGACCTTTTCCCACTAGAGGAGTGTTCCACTGGACTTATATTTTGCAGCTGCCCAAAGTAAAACCAAAACCCTTAACTGTGTCACAAGTGACTACTTCCACTTTCTCAGTTCAGAAAAATTTTGCTGCATCACAGGCTGAGACCCATCTTTCATAGAATAGAATCATCCCTTCTTTCTCCCTTGCAGTAAGTGCTAAAACAAGCAGAGAAGCAGGAGACCTCCTGGAGAGGTTTCAGCTTGTTTACCCTGTTGCTGAACTCCAGTAGCCCAGTAATCCATTTTCATGAAGTTTTACCCTATAAGTCCTTAAAAGAATTAGAACAAGTGACTGCTACCTGTGGCTCAACAGTCCCGTTTACCTTAGGTTTTATAGGGCTCAGAGGACAACAGGCTTCAAATGATTGGAAAGGAACAGGTAAAGTATATTTAAGCCTGGGATTATTAATTGTGGGAGGGAAATTTTTTGAACTGTACATACATTAGGTCACTTGCAGTACTGTTCCCATCATGACCATTACAAGGGACATGTTAATTGGAGAAGGTACCTTTGCTGCCACAAGTAATCAACTTACTTTTTTTTTTCTTTTGGTATCTGGGATTGAACTCACAACCTTGCACTTGCCAGACAAGTGCTATGCCACTGTGCTATATCTCAGAGATATACTTAAAATTACTCCCAATAGTTGTTTTTTTTTTTTTTGGTATCAGGGAATGAACTCATGACCTCATACTCACTAGGAAAGCACTTGAGCTGCTGAGCTAAATACCTGGCCTTCAACTTATTTTTGAATTGCAAGCATATGAACAAATTAAAATAGCTGCCACAAGGGTTTGGAGGAACTTCCTTTAAGGAGTGAGACATCACTTTATCTGACCTTCATTCAGCAGTGTCCTGATGAACCTTTTTAGGATTTTGAAGTATGCTTATTTTAGGCTAGTAGGAAGATTTTCAGCAATATAGAAAATAACAAGATAATTGACCAACAATTCGCCTTTTAAAATGCAATGAGTGGTGTAAAAAGACTTTAGCTTTTGGGGCCTTTGGCTGTCCATGGGCACTTAAGCCTGACAGTGGCCCAGCTTATACATGTGTTGCCTTCCAAATGTTTTGTAAAACTTTTCATATTTCCCTTACAGTGGGAATTCCTTATAATACACATGGTCAAAGAATTGTTGACCATGCTTACTATATGCTCAAAATTCAACTACAAAAACAAAAACAGAAATCCTTCCCTACAAAACTATATCTTATAATAGACTTCACTTGACATTATATACTGTTGACTTGTTAAATCTTAATAGGGATGGGACTACAGCAGCAGAAAAAAAATTCAATCAAGTAAAGGAAAAGAAGCTAGGAAATGTCCTTTGGAAAGATCTTCAGCCTGGACTGTGGGAGAGACTCAACCAGTACTCACATGGGGGTGAGAGTATGTTTGTGTCTTTACAAAAAATGCTGAATGAGATCGACCTACATGTCAGAGCTTGCCGTCTGGCTGTATCATGGACCCAGACCCAGAGAAGGAGTTGGTTCCAATTGTCAAGAAGTTGATGCTTAGTTCTGTAGCAGTGATGCATTCGAGATTGCTACAACCAACAGACAATTTGAGGCTAGAACCGACCTGGGGCCAATTAAAGAAATTCACACAGGATTCCCAGGGAATGATAACCAAACATAAATGGGCATCAAAGGTCTGAATAGATGATAGAGTGCATGGAGATACTTTGCTGAAAGCTATGTGAAGAAAAGGGACATGAAAGTTACAAGAGTTCTGGGTAGATATAGATACAGTTATATCTTTGTCCTATTCGTGAACAACTGTTTTTCATTTGAGCTCAACAATTTTTTTCTCTTTCCTTTTTCTTTTGCATTTTGGGATCATTTGTTCACAATTAATTTGATTTATAGGTTTCAAAAACATGCTTCCACCTGGCTTTCCAGCTGGTCAAAATGGTATCAAAATTGGTTTTCTCATAGTTCATCAGAAATTTGTTAAGGTAACTAAATGGGGATTCTACAGGCTTGGGTCAAAGCTCCCTTTGGTGAATAAAAGAATAGCTGCTTGAGAAAAAACCACATCCCTTTATTTATTAATAGGAAGCCCCAATGATCTCACAATAAATGTTGGCAGCCCAATAAATGTTATTGAAAATATATTATTGTGATATGCTTATATGGGTCATCACCAAAAGATTAAAAAAGATTCTAGAAATGGGGCAGTAAGGTTTTCTGATTTGGAGATGCTCTGGTACAAAACTAGTTTCCATATGGCTATGACAGTTGTTATTAATCTCATGATGTATTAAATGTATTCATGCCTTCTGATGTATAGGTATTCCAAAATGTAAAATGGGGATTGTTTATAGTGATTGACTTTTCTTTCAGATTCAGACACTTGCCTTTCTTTTGTGCTCTAGCTCTTCGTAATAAGAGGTTCATGACATACCAACATGAGATCACCAGTGAATAATAATAACAAAAATTTATGTGATGTATATGCTCTGTATGTGCCACTGTACTTAGAAATATCTAGATAATATCATGAATTTCTTCATTGGCATCCCATTAAAGGACAACAAATTAGGTAAAAGCTTTTAAAAGGGGTATTTTATGTCAAAATGTAGATTTAGGTGTATTACAAAAATGTCATCATGATTGACCCACTGCAATATTATATATGGCTTTTGAGTTCTAATTTTCTGTGAAAAAAGTATGTAACTTTTGTTTTTCAACAGTCTATAGGGTTTCAACTACTAGGACATCTATGGTTGCTTCTACTTTGTATTTCAAGGTACCTGATACTCAGATAAAATTATAATATTAAACTCACTTTAATGTGTAATGTTATTAACCTTCTCTTCTGAATGTTCAACAACTGAGGTTTGGAGACCAAAACTGGAACAATAGATGGACTAGGAGTATAACCAACATTTTAGCCCCAGCCCGCTGAGGTCAATAAGGCCTTATCATGAGAGAACCTCTACTTCAACATCCTGTAACTCAGTAAGTCCATCATCTTCTGACCAAGAGATTGTTGGACCACAGAGGAAGGAGATAACAATGTATAACGTGCCTAAGGAGAGTCAGAAGGAGAGAAAAATCTCCCAAGCTTTGACAGAAAGCAACTTGGTCAAGCAATGCCTATGATTCATCCAATGGCTAACACTAACAGAAGAACTGAGAGGTGCTATACATGGTTCCAAGGTAGAGCCTTCGGAGATTTAACTGACCTTAATAGATAGCAAGAAACTAATTTTAATGAATACAGGTCTTGTTTTAACTTAGTCTTGCACATCCCGCAGAAAAGTATAGCTACAAGATGTATAAAAATGTCATAGTAATATGCTAGATATAAAAGAAACTCAAATCACTAACACCTTCTTATAATTTCCAGCTACACTGCTAACTGACTACTGTTAGGGGATAATGGGATGTATAGAGTTAAATTGCTGAATGGCAGGGACCTAACATCCTTAGATTGGGAATCTTTCATTTAAATGAGTAAGTCCACTCAAAATGTAAATATTTTGAGAAGGAGAAGGTCTTCTGCAGAATCCTTCAAACACTGTTCCTCCAACTCCAACAGACCACCCATTGCTTGCAACTACAAAATAGAAAAAGGGGAGATGTGGGGAGCAGCTGAAGCTGGAGCTCAGTTACACATGTGAGGCTGAAACAAGGCCAGCCCCAAGGACAGAGTGCCCAAGGCAAGCCATGTGAGCAACCTGCCCTAGCCCTGAGGACATGAGAAACTTGAGGCGAGCCAGGCAAACAAATTGTTAGGCAAAGGGGTTTCACATCTTATTAACCTCCCAAGTGTATAAATAAGTGCTCTGCAGTCATTGGATGGTTCTTTTTCTCCCACCAGGAGAAAGTCTTCTCTCCATAGGTTACTATGGTTCTGACGCTACTGTAGTGTAAAAATTGTCAACTGGATGAATTGGAGTATCCTTAGTGTTCATCCAGTCCAACAGCTGCATTTGATAAATAAGAAACAAGCTGATTGAACTACCATGTCTTGTTGAAATGAAAATCAGCTTTCATCCAGGCTCCTTTCCACCTAATAGTGTTTTGTAAAAATTTTCCCAAGTGGGACTCTGTTTTGTATTTCACAAATTCCATGATGGAAAGATACAGCTACCAAAAACCTGACCTCAAGTTTCTGCATTCTGACTCTTTTCTTCATTTCTTTATCCTCCACCATCCTTTCCCTGGGAATTTTAAGAGCTGTGCTACATGTGGCAAATAAGGACCTCCCTGGTGGCTTATGTTTTTGTCCTGATGTCATGGGGACAAGTGGATGTAAAAATCTTTATGGTTGGATTTCTTGAATATTTGACTAATGTACTTCCATCTTTTCCTATAGATTGCAAGTTCATAAAAGTGGAATGTCCTCTTAAAGATATGAAGTGGATTTTCATCATCTGAAAAACAGTCCATAACTCGCAAATGGGTTGTCTATAAAGGTTGTTTCTAAGGCAATGACTTGAAGTTAAAAATTTCATACATGACTGTTAGGTTCCGAGGTTAACTGAACAAGACTTCCCAAAGCAGTCACGTTACTTTTTGTAATTTTGAAGCAGCACTACAGCCTTGGAGAGGCATGACAGTGTACTGGACCAGTGATTCCCAAGTGGGCTGACAAAGGCAGTTTCTAAAAGCCTCTTCTGGCACAGGGCATCTGTTGCATCCCTCCAGTAATCTCTCCTTCTGGTAGCTTTTCCCACCTTACTACTGTGCTGCTTACCGGCTATCAAATACACACAAACTGTTCAGGAAATATTCAGGGCACTCACCTACAAAATCAAATTTTCAAGTTCCATTGTATACTTTTTCCCTACATGAACACATATTATCTAAACCTTTGCTGGAACATGTCATAGCCTTCCTCAGTTACCTTCCTTTGCTTAGTGCTCTTGGCATGCAGACTCCAGTTCCCATTAGTCTAGCTTTTCTTTGCTCCTCATCTCATATGCTGCCTCCTCTTATGACTTCTCCCAATTGGAGCTCACTTTTCTCGTCTCCACATATTCTCATCCCGTGATTATCTGTCATATGGCAATTAATATAGTCTTTATGAGATAGTGTTTTGTAGGTTGTTTTTCATCCCTGTACATTTCTGAAGCCTAGGAGCCAATATCTTATCCAACTGTGAGGACCTCACAATTCCAAGCAGTGAGCTTTGGATATGGTAGTTGCCCTACAAATGCTGGAGGTGTTGAACTGCCTCCCTACCCCATTCCACTTACATATGTTCTGGGAAGGAGTGGGAAGCCTGTGTAGGTGCTGGTAGGAAGCCAGAGAGGGAACTGTCTGTGTTGCTTTCAAATGTTAATGTCCATAGACAGCTATAAGTGCTGTCTACCTTTGGCTTTGAGTCAGATATAATAAAACAAAATCAGCCGTTAGGACTAATGCTTTTTAACTTTTGTTGTAAGGCTTGTAAAAGATGTTTGCTATCCTGACTGGTGTCAGATTCAATAAGTATAATTAATCTCTGGAAACACATAGATGAAATTACTTTAATCATAGCTTTCATTTGTTTCTGACTCTCTGAGTCTCTTGGGCATTGAGCAGAACCCTTTGGCCCTCTGCCACATGAGGCACCTTGAGGCCTGCTCCCAGTCTTGGCTTGGAAATAGTGAATCTTTCTGGGCATTCAAAACTTGCAAGTGTAAAACATTTGCTTTTCTATATCCATCTCCTGGGGACTTACTGAAGGAAAGTTTATTTGCCCTGGAGGGATGACCTTTCCTTTCTTCTCTTACCCTGTTTTCTAGCTAGTAAAGTGAAGGAACTTGGCACCTGCCTCAGGAAAGGTTCAGTGGGACCACAGTCCTGTAAATGGATGGCACTCTCTCACGCATTTTCAGATTGCCAAAGAACTTCTCTCTATAGGTTACTATGGTTCTGACGCTACTGTAGTGTAAAAATTGTCAACTGGATGAATTGGAGTATCCTTAGTGTTCATCCAGTCCAACAGCTAGCTGCATTTGATAAATAAGAAACAAGCTGATTGAACTACCATGTCTTGTTGAAATGAAAATCAGCTTTCATCCAGGCTCCTTTCCACCTAATAGTGTTCTGTAAAAATTTTCCCAAGTGGGACTCTGTTTTGTATTTCACAAATTCCATGATGGAAAGATACAGCTACCAAAACATACATTCCTTGCATTGACTTAATGAAGTCTTGTGGAGGACTCACTCTTGGATCGATACTTCTTTCAAGTTGTCTGGAGTACAGTGAAAAATGAGGAAGGTGCCATGCTTGGTGAATCTTCCAGTTTACTGGAATAGTCAGATATTAGAATTGGTCAGTCAATGTTGATGGGTGTTAAAAAGGGAAAGTGTGGGTCAGCTAAACTTCTTAAATGAACAGTATAGGACTGGGCTGGTGGAGCCTGAGCATATTCCAAATAAAAAGAAGGGCTCATCCAGGGACCCTGGTTTCAGTGGGAGTATCTTTTCTGCTTATTTCTATGTCCACATCTACTCTAGACACCTTGGTATCCATGCTGTGCTTCTCTCTTCAGCCTCCTCTCTCTGGACTGCTTGCTAATGTACACCTCAAGAATTCTTTATCTAAGCTTTTTTGATTTTCATGCCTTTATACATCTTGTCCTTCTGTTGGAAATATAAATTGCTTTCAGCTCCACTCATGGTTTGGGATTCAGGTTTCAGTTTTACTTCTCTGACTGATTTGGCTAAATCTCCTTTGTAATCTTGTAGCACACTGCCTGTACCTCCACTGGACTGTACAGATTTAATGTAATTGTCTATTTGTACATCTTAATTATTCTCTTAGTTAAGACTGAAGTTGTGCCTATTTCTGTTTTAATTCTTAGATGTTTGATCCATTTTGAATTTTTGGCTTAGTGCATGGGGATAGAAATGGGCTTTGTTTTAGTCTTCAGCATATGGAAAGCCAGACATCAGTAGTCCTAGTATAATGCCTTGAAGTTCATAGTTACTTCCGCTCCATGTTTATTATGTCAACAGATGAAGAAATACAGGCTTCTTAACTCCAGTGCAGATTTCTTTCTTCTTGTTCCTTTCCTTTTCCATATTTATTCGTCTATCATTCCCACCTCTTCCTTCTCTCCCTTCTTCCTTCCCTGTCTTTCTCCTTTCTTTCTTTCAGTTCACCCAATAGGTGTCTTAGAGAATCTCCTCTGAGCTTGGCCTTGAGCTGCTTATTATCCGTTGAGTTGGACTGGCAATTATATAAAAAATAAGTTTATATGGTATTAGCATTAAAAGAGTTTAAACAAGATTTCACAGCACTAAGCACTGATTGAGTGTGTTTGTTTGGAGGAAGCCAGGACAGTTTCATTGGGCAGTGCTGTTTGAGCTAAATTGGAGAGAGAAAGAGGCATTTGTTAGGTGAGAAGGAGTAGGAAGGTCACTGCCTTAGAGGCTTCATGGCCTGCAGGGAAAGACCCTGAGTTGTTGAAAGTAGTAAGCTAATGTTCATGGAATGGAGGGTATGTATGGGTGTGGGGAAATGAGTGCAGGGAAGGCTGGGTAGGAGGAAGTGCAGGGTGGGGAGGCTGGGTGAAAAATGCTTTTGCTTGTCTTTCTAAACAATCTGAAGTTTGTTACATAGACACTGGGAACCCTAATGAAGTTTCCCTAAGCATGGGCTCTCCTTTGTTTTGTGGGAAGCTTAGGATATTTCCTTGGGCTATCATAAGAGGAAATGCCAAATCTTGGACGCTAATTGGCCATGTGCTCCCCTACTTCTCCATCATGCTTCCCTGGGGACTCAGGGCATTGCTAGTGTTGGACAGAGATCATTACAGCTAGCAGGAGAGAAGAAAATGTTAGAGGTGCCCCCACCTTTTGCAAGTATTTGTCAACTCTCCTTCTGAGGAAATGGGACTCTTGAAATGGTAGTGATTGCCAGCCATTTATGTTACTTATTAAGCATCTCATTTTATTAATAATCCCAATTAGCTAGAGAATCTTTTGTTTGGCAATAATTTAAATATATGCTTATCTAATTTTCCTATTTTAGAGCTATGAACTCATTCATCCTGGACTCCTCTTGGTGCTACCACAGTTAAATCCTTCCTGACTGACTTGAAGAGGCAGTTGAGTTTGATGGTAACAGTTCTAGAACTGAATGGTTACATTAAAGCACCCATGATCCATTGAAGTGCTTCACCTGCATAATTAATCAGGCCAGCTAAAACTGTAGCTCAGTGTAATAATATTTACTCTGAAAACTCACAATTGGACTGTGCAGGGTCTGCTGACATCAAGGAATCTTAAACTTTTTCTTTGACAAGGAGTTTTATTAGGATGTTATTTTGGCAGTTCTAGCACAATTCCTTTTGCAGATGTTCAATGAATTCATGGAATATTAAGAAATTGACATTGAGTTAGAGTTGTTTCCAAACCTGGCTGAATCTCTGAGAAGACTTTAGAGAATTTATATACTTGTATGTTCTACCTTTTGGAGCCTGATTCAGGAGGCAAGGAGGAAGCAGGAAGTTGTAGATATGTTGTCTTAATACTCAGGTTATTCTAGTTGTGAGAACTGCCAGTCTTGTTAAGGACATTGAAGACTACAAGACTGAAGTCAATGGGGAGGTTAAACAAATACATTTTTCTAAGGGGAAGAGAAATTGATATTAAAGGCCCCTAAACTTTTATTACTAATACATTATTGTTTCTGAAAGTTCCCATTTTGACTTTCTCAGGAAGCAGTTTCTCAGTGCTTCTAACAGTGGATTTGGTTGACTGCACTCATGGAAACACTTTGGGTACTTGTTAAACATGCAGATTCCTGGATTCCTTAATGATGACTCAAGACAGAGAGTGGGCCCACATACCTATATTTAAGTGAAACTCAGGTTTTTCTGACACACAAGCTCTCATGCTTTGAAAGTTTGGTCTCTAGCTTGTTGATATTGGGAGGTGGTGTAGAACCTGAAAGAGGTGGGGCTTCGAATAAGGTGATTGGGCCACTGGATACAGCCCTCAGAATGAGCTGATTAGTTCTTACAGTGCCTTGGCTAGTTCTGATGTTTGCTATGAAATAGCTGGGTGCCTCCCTAGTTACTGGCTTCCTGTCTCACTCTGCAATCTCTCACTCCTACATGTATCTCATCTGTGCCATTTGCTGTGATATGATACCATCCAAAGGACCTTCATGTGAACCAGTGTCATGTGGCTTGGATAGAAAACTATAAGCTAAATAAACCTTTTTTCTTTATAAAGTACTCAGCCTCAGGTATTTTATTATAATAATGGAAAACAGACTAATATAATGATGTTTTAAACATTTAACCATGGTTTTTCCCCTGCTTAAAACCCACCAGAAATTCTGTATTGCCTTCAGCATGAATTCCAAGGTCTTCAGTGTGATGCTCTACTTTCATAATATCTGACAGTTCCCCTTGAACACCTTTTCATCACTTACCCTTGCCTTTCCCTCGACTTTAAATTCTAGCCATGCTGAATTACACTTATCCCTGATGTCCTGGGGCATTTTTTCATAGGTAATTTCTTATTTTTGAATGACTTTCTGTCACTGTATGGTTTATTCTATCTAGCAAGTGAGTCCCTAATCATCCTTCTACCTATAACTATGCTCTTCTACAACTTTGGTGACCTTCTGTCCAGAGTGGGTTCTGCCTTTGTGTGCTGTCTCAGCCTGTCTAAACTTCCTTCATAAATATGTGTGTAAGAATTTGTTTGTTGGGGTTGGGGATTTAGCTCAGTGGCACAGTACCTACCTGGCAAGCTGAGGTCCTGAGTTCAATTCCAAGACCCCCCCCCCACAAAAAAAATTTGTTTGCATGTCTGCTACCCCTCCTTGACTACTGAATTCATCTATAATATCTTATGCCTAGAATAGTATTTGGCTCATTAGGTTCTTAATTAACACTTTGAGTGAATGAATGAATGATTCCATGTCTTACTTTCAAAATTATTTTTATAAAACAAAGTATATTTACATTTTAGCCAATTTCTAAATTTTGAAACATCATAAATGTCTTACTTTCAAAATTATTTTTATAAAACAAAGTATATTTACATTTTAGCCAATTTCTAAATTTTGAAACATCATAAATTTATGCATTGTCAGTACAGTTCATAAAAATAACTGTGCATTTCAATTAACTGACTCATGTTACCCATTCAATTTTCTTAGTAAGAAGTGAGGTAGCTATACTGTGCTATGGATCAGCATCATAGCTGGTCTCTTAAGAAGTTGATAGGAAAAGGTTTTATAGAACAACCAAGGTTACTAAGCATTACTTCTTCTTTTACCACATGTTGGGCATTATTTTTATTTAAAACAAATCATATTTCATCTTAGAATCATGTTAATAATGGAAAGCAAAATTATTCTAATATTTTAGCTAAAAGGTAGTGTTGGCTGTAAGTAAAAAGGAGTTGAAGATGCCATTTGTTTGCTGTAAATGAGAGTATCTGGAGTTGAGTCCCACAGGCAGACAAGGAAGAGTGTTAGGCATGAGATAGGTGGTCAGAGGGAGGGGGGCAACCCATCACAGATGCATCCTGGGAAATAATTAGGCTGGAGTACAACACACATAGTCTCTAAAGCAGTCTACAAAGCAGTGAACGTTTATTGACTTGTCTCTCTGGGCCAGACACAGGTTTCATGTTTTCTATAACCTATGCCATTCAATCCACTCCAAAGCTGTATGAAGCTATTACTAATTTCTTAATTTTACAGTCTCAGGAACTGTTAATTGATCCTCAGTTGTTCAGGAAGTAGCTAGGGAATTAGAAAACATGAACTTCATTGATTCTACCATTTAAGATTCAGACAGCATGGTGATTATCTTGCTTGATTTTGAAAGGGAGAAAGACATCCCCTAAAACTCCTCTGCCTTCTCATTCCCCCTATTAAATAATCTTGTGATTCTCTCAGAACTTGTGCTCCCTTATTACAAAGAAGCTGTCAGCCTTTGCCTCAGTAACATAGGCAGTTGTATGCTCAGCTGCTTAGCTGTTCAGGCTGGGTCTCTCTCTTTGGAAAGAGGCTTGGAGAGCCACCAGCACCATACATGCTAGGCCAGTGGTGGGTGAACAGAGTG